CGGACCCGCAGCCGGGGGGGGGGGGCGTGGGAGCCGGTGGAGGGCCAGCCCCCCATTCCCTGGGCAGAGCTGGCGGAGGAGCAGAGGAAGCTGGACAAGGGACCAGGACAGCTGGGGCCTGGTCTGGAAAGGAGGGCAGGGCCTGCCACACTGGACCAGAGACCTGGACAGGCTGCAGAAAGGCCACACTGGACCACAGACTTGGACAGGCTGCAGATAGGCTTCTGGGACCCAGAAGTCCGGGTGGCAGGGGCCTGGGCTCCTGCCCTGCTGTATGGCTTCTTCTTTTTAAGTTTATTGCTTTCTTTTTTTTTCTTAAAAAAAAAAAAGACTTTTCTTTTTTAAATTTAACTTTACTTATTTATTTTTAATTTGACTAGAGAGGGAAAAGAGAGAGAGAGGGAAAGTGAGAAAGCAAGCCACCAGGTCCGGGACTCGAACCCTGGTCGGCCATGTGGAAGCCCAGTGCCCTTAACCACCAGGCCACCTGCTGGCCCCAAGTTTATTGCTTTCTTTTAGGAGAGAGAGAGAGACAAGCCCATCAACGGGATCTCACTCTGCCCTTGCACCTACCCACTGTCCTCCTAGGCAGCCAGAATCAAGGCTGTGTGTGTCCCGTCACAGGTAGACCAGAGAACCAGACCTGAGACGTCCATGGACCCAGCTTCCCTCCAGCACTGCATTATGCTGGGCCTCCCAGGATTAACAAGCCAGCCAGCATCCCCCCTGCTGAGCCCACCCAGTCCACAGCCCGGTTGACAGGGTCCCCTAGGAGACGGTGAGAGGATGCAGCGGGCTCTGCTTCCTGTCCTGAAGGGACCTCCCTCCCCAGGAGCCAACCGGAGGCTGTGCAGATGGGGTTCCTGATGAGTCAGGGCCAGCTGGGCTGAAGGTGGGCAGCCACGGCCCTCAGTGCAGGCTCCTTGCCCAGAGTCTCTGAAGCCCTTTGAACTAGAGGAGCTGAGTCCACCCAGCCCAGGACCCTCCCCTCAGATAGCAAGACCGAGGCGCAGGGTGCTGCGTGGAGGAGACCGAAACCCTGGGCTTATTCTGGTGCCCGTGCCCTTTCTTGACCCCACTAACAGAGCCTGCACCACGGCCTAGTGGTCAAAGGACTCAGGATGCCGCATGGCTGGCCGCAGTTTGAATCCTGGCCTTTGCAGTTTGAAAAACCACATGGTAGGACCAGCAGTTAGCATAATGGCTATGTTGCTGGACTCCCACGTAGTTGACCACAGTTCGTGTCCCGGACCCGGTGGCTTAAACTCACGCCGGGCGCACGTGCGTGCGTGCCCAAGATCCCGAGAGGAGAATGGAGGAGAAGGGATTGCGGCGTGAACATCCCCTCATGGGGGTGATTTCTCGCTTTCTGTCTCTCTGTCTCTCTCTGTCTGTCTGGCAAATGCATGCGCCCTATAGCGAAAACCTCTGGGAAAAAAAAAAAAAAAAAAAAAAAAAACTGAGGGGGACCAGCAGCTGGTGGAATGGTAGGCCACTGGACTCCCATGTAGTCAACTGCAGTTCGAGTCCCGGACCTGATGGCTTAAACTCACACCGGGCATGCGTGCATGCATACCTAAGATCCTGAGAGGAGAATGGAGGAGAAGGAACTATGGCGTGGCCATCCCCTGGGGGGTGATTTCTTGGTTTCTGTCTCTGTCTCTTTCTGTCTTGCTGGTGAGCGCACGCGCCCTATAGCAAAAAACTCTCCAAAAAAAAAGGAAGAAAACCACATGGGGCATGTGTGTGTGTGTGCCCCAAATCTCAGCAGGATGGAGAACTGGAAGAGAAGGGATTACAGTGTGACCATGCCCCAATGGGAGGTGCTTTTTCTGCCTGTGGGAAGCGTCCTTACCCTGGCTGCATGGCCTATGGAGACCGCTCTCTGCAACTGCTGCCCCTTGTCCGCCCCGCCTCCCCCCGGCTGGGAGCTCTGCAGTGGGCCGGACTGAACCTTTTCATAAAGTTTATTTATTTATTTATGGAGAGAAGGAAAGAAGCACCCCAACAGAGCAGCCACAGCACGATCCCCCGTCTTAGCTGACCTGGACCATGGGCATGAGTGCACACCACGCAGTGCACCGAGGGAAGTCCTGGCGTGCAAACCCAGGGCCTGTCCCACAAAGGTCTGGCATTACCAGCATGGCACCATCCTGCCCCTGGACTGAATCTTTAAGTCTGTGTTCCCAGGGTTCCAGAATCTGACACACATCGCACGCTCAATTCACGTTTGTGGACTGCATGAACGACGCCCACCTCCGACGTGGCAGATCTGACCTGCAGGCCAGGCCTCCTGAGTTCTAAGTCCCAGCTCACTTCAGCAACCACGCCGCCCCCTGTGGCTCAGGGGGGTCTCTCTGTGATAGGGGGCTAGCTGCTCTCCAGACGGGGCACCTGGGCATGTCTCCGTCTTAGAGGGACTCAGGCCTGCTGTGGTTGGTCTGATGGCTGGACAGGCTGTTGGTGGAGCTGATGAGACATGCTGACAGCGAGTCCAGGGAGGAGAGGGCAGGGTGAGGGACCTCCTGAGCTTCAGATAGCTCCCTCTGGGAGGCTCTTTGTCCTCACCCGGGCAGACTGAGGACCCACGCTCTGTGGGCAGCCGTGTGCAGATGCCCGAGACGGCCAGATCGGGGTGGGGGGTATCAGACCCACGCTCACTGCTCAGACTCTGGCTCCTGCCTGCTCAGGGGTGCTGGGGGCTGCGGCTGGGGCCGGTTCCCAACTGAGCTCTCCAGCGGATAAGGAAGGTGTACGGTGGCCTTCGACCCCTTTCTCTTTCTCCTTTTTACTTTTTATTATGAAAATTTCACACATAATGTAGTAGACCAAAAGAGAACATAATATCGGGAACCCCGGGTACTCCTTACCCAGCTTCAACCCCTGGCCAGTCTTCTTTCTCCCATACGTCCCCCTCCACGGACACACTCCCACGCGAATCCCCCTTTATTATCTTGAAGGAAATCCCGGATATCGAATCACTTCTTCTCTCATCCCTCTGGTTTTTATTTTTTAAATTTTGCCATAGGGTGCATGCCCTCACCAGAGAGACAGAGAGAGAGAGAGAGAGAGAGAGAGAGAGAAAGAAAGCGCCCCCTGCAGGGGAGATGACCATGCCGCAATTCCTTCTTCTCTGTTCACTTCTCAGGATTCGGGGCATGCGTGCACACATGCCTGGTGTATTTTTCGTCTCCAGGCCTAGGACTTGAACTGCACAGTAGGCCATATGGGATTCAGCACCTTAACCATCACACCACTGGCCGACTCATCGTTCTGATTAAAAAATTTCAGGATTTAAGAGCCAGCAGGTGGCGTGGTGGTTAAGGGCGCTGGACTCCCACATGGCCAACCATGGTTTGAGTCCTGTACATGGTGACTTGCTTTCTCACTTTCCCTCTCTCTCTTTGTCTGTCTCTTTCTGATCAAACTGGAAAATAAAGTTCAATAAAATAAATCTTTAAAAAAAATATTTCAGGATTTCACTTTTTTTTTTTTTCCAGAGGTTTTCGCTATAGGGCACATGCATTTGCCAGACAGACAGAGAGAGACATAGAGACAGAAAGCGAGAAATCACCCCCCAGGAGGGGATGGTCATGCTGCAATCCCTTCTCCTCCATTCTCCTCTCGGGATCTTGGGCACGCACGCACACGCGCCCAGCATGAGTTTTAAGTCACTGGGTCCGGGACATGAACCGCAGTCGTCTATGTGGGATTCCAGCGACATAGCCATTACGCTAACTGCTGGTTCCCAGGATTTCACTTTAAAAGACAGGAATTCTTGAGGCCAGCAGATGACGGGCAGTTACGTTGCCAGACTCCCACATGGACAACTGCGGTTCGAATACTAGACCTAGTGACTTGAAAATCACATTGGGCACGTGTGCATGTGTGCCCAAGACCCTGGGAGGAGAAGGGATTGCGGTGTCGCCATTCCCCCGGGAGGTGATACCTCACTTTCTCACCGTCTCTGTCTCCAGTGAGTGGGTGCACCCTAAGGCAAAAACCTCTTAAAAGAGAGAGAGAGACAGAGACTCTGTTTTAATTTCATTAAATTTTCAATGTTAATTTTATGTGTGTAGTACAAGGAAGTGTGGAAAGTGCGTGCCTCACAGATACAGGGAGCGACTTCGCTTCTGCCTATCCGTGTCCAGAACACTCCACACACTGCAAGAGGTGGCTGCATGCCCTTCCCAGTCGAAGCTCAGATCCTTTGAGTTTTTCTGATCCCAGCTGGCTGACCAAGCTCCCTTTTTTTTTTCTTTCCATTTTTACTATGGGATGCCTATGCTCACGAGAGAGAGAGAGAGAGAGAGAGAGAAAGTGAGAAATCACCCCCTGGGAGGAATGGCCATGCTGCAGTCCCTTCTTCCACTCTCCTCTTGAGACTTTGAGCTCACATGCACACACATCTTGAGAGTCACAAGCCTTGGGGTCCAGGGTTCGAACCACAAAGCTGGCCATGTGGGATCTAGTGCCTTAACCTCCGTGCCATTGACTGCCCCGATGATCTCCTTCTTTCTGCTGCTGGTCCCATGCTGTCGCTTCAGTCCTCGAGGACTCTCTAAGTCCTCAGGGACCGTCTGGGTTTGGCCCTGGCCCCATCACTTTGCCTCTCTGGGCCCTTTTCTGTGCCCGTTGGCTGCTGGTGTGCTTGCGAGTCTCGTCTCCACCCTGCCCTGTGCTGTGCTGTGCTGTGCTGGGACCCGCGTGTCCCACTCTCTTCTCCCCTGTGGCTTCTGGGTAGTTTCTGCCGGTACGAGGCACTGGTGGG